CCGTCGTCTCATTAGGAGCATGCCCCGACGTTGTCAGGCATGCATACAAGCACGTGGGGGCCATACAAACTACTGAGTACCATTTTGAGTTGCTGCAATGAAATTTCAGCAAAATGGACTAGCCTGCTGCATCATTTTTTCACTTTGATTTTCGGGGTGTCTTTGAATTCAGCCCTCTGTAGGTTGATAATTTTCATTTTCATCAAACGATGTGGCATCCTTTCGTTCCTAACACATTACCCAGTCCATATCAGTATAGATATCCAGCATGATATTTTTCCCCATTGAGATCTGATGTGTTTTCAAAGTGTTCCTTTAATTTTTTTGAGCAGTACATATGTATGTATGTATATATATATATATATATATATATATATATATATATATATATATATATATATATATATATATATATATATATATATATATATATTGAGAAGTTATTATTGTAAATGTTTATTGGAATACACACACTGCCTAAGATTACAGACCCATTTGTTAAGTAAAAGACTGCTTTATGTTAACAGAAATACAGACTCTGCTGGTTGTGTCCAAATATGCACACGTAGACCCAGAAACTTTTTATCCATGTGTAATTGTACATCTATGCATTATCTGCACTGGACACAACACACCAACTATAACCACCTCATCCATGGATAATGCCTGTGGAAAATTTTGTATACATAACTATGACACTGTAAAGAACTGCAACACATTATACTCTACTTCTTGCACCTTAGCATCTCTATAGATGTATATGATACATATTATATATATGCTATGCATATATTTTTATATTTATATTATCCAAATGTCATATAGAATATCTAGATTTAGTTTTTTTATAGTGTATTGGCATTCTGTTCTGAGAAAAAAAATACATCTAGTGCTCTTTAAAGGAAAACTCCACCCTGAAACACATTAAATATGTTTATATTGAAATATTTGTGATGTGTTTAGCAATTCTGGTGCTAATTTGTTGGTTAGTGTTGTATTATTCCTGAGTTAGCGGTTGTCTGCCATGCTGACATCACAGGGAGACATTGCCAGCACGGTTACAATGATGTTTAATAAGCTAACAGCAAACCTGACTGTTATCCCTTATGTCTGAGATTCAACAATCTCAGACATAAGGGATAACAGTCAGGTTTGCTGTTAGCTCCTAAAAACAAATGAGCAAGAGCTTTTTTTCTCACTCACCATTTTCAGTGACATTCAATGCCATAATGAGAAATTCAGTGTAGGAGTAGTGAAGACAGCAAGCATCATACTCAAAGATCCTAACGCAATGCAGCTTATGACAGAGACACGGCTCGTCAAGTTAGTAATCTATGAGATGGTCAGCACAATGGCGGTATTTGCATGAAAGTTAAAGTTTTGGAAGCTGATCTGATGAAGCAGAATGTATAGATGAGGAGGTGAGAGAGCTGGACAGACTAAAGGACTAAAGCGCTGCTGCATTGCTCTCCTCACTGCGTTGCATTGTGGGTAATAATGGAAATCATTAACCAAAGTGCAACTAAACCAATGTGCCATCTAAAAATGTGTATAAAAATGTGTATAAAATGCAATATAAAAAGGTGTATAAAATGCCAAGGTGTACATAATGCCAGTTGCAATATAAAATTGAAGAGCAGGTTTGTTCGGGGTGAACTTTTTCTATGTAGAACCTTACAATTGTTTTCCTGTCAAACAAGTTTGACCTTTGAAGGTGAGTAGCATTTTCCACATGCATTGTGAGAAAATGGATGATAGCATAAATATTCTACCTTGTTCAGGTTTATTACAACTATAAATGTATTTCACGTGCAC